GAGGAGGGGAAACCATCTCTCCCCTCCTGCAGGGCAGCAGTCCAGGATGGGCTTTACTGAGTACCAGCAGCTTTCCTTCCTCTGGGCTGGCAGGTCCGTACAGAGGAGGCTGGGAGCAGGGCAAAGCTGGCTGCTAGCTTTTTGCCTCCTGCTCTTTGGGACTGTCCTCCTGCAGGTCCTCCTCATCCGACTGCACCACGGGGGTCTCAGCCCCCTCCTCGCTGGTGTCCAGGCTGTTCAGATCCGTGGAGACAGAGGATGTGGAGGAAATGCGTGACTTGCTCTCAGCTGCATTGGGCACTGGCAGGGTGATTTCCTCTGGGCACTGGCTGGCTTCTGCCCCTGGAGGAGAGAGTGGTAAGAGGAGAAAAAGGCTTCTGGAGGTTTCTTCCTCCCCAAGCTTCACAGGTAGCCCCCACCCAATACTTATTCTTCATCAGGCTGTGCTTCCCCAGCCCCTCCTGGCAGCTCCCCATGTGGCTGCTGTGGGCACTTCCCCCACCTCACACTCCCAGTTTGGCTCTGGGCAGTGCCACACATTCTGTCCCTGTTTTTGGCAGTGGATTCTTTTCTGTCTTGCGTGAAACACATCTTGGAGCCATTCTGTGTGAGGCTGTTGGCTGCAGCAGGCAAGGAGATGTTTGACTTGGCCTCAGAGAATCATTACAGCGTGTGTCTGTGGGGAGGAAGGTGCTGGCACCCCGGGCTTTCCCTGTGGGACCCGAGCCCAGCTCCCTGGGGTCTGGATGGGAGATGAAGGGGTCCTGCAGCCTTCCCACTCAGTGCCATGAGCTCTGCAGTGTGGTGGGGACCTGGGAAATCGTGACAAGACGCTGCTCCAGAGGAGCTTCAAGACAATATAATTTGCCCAACAGACTCTAGAAAGTGCCTGGGCTCTCCTGTCTTCTGCAGCATAAGGTATTTACAGGGGTCTGTACCTCTGGGCTGCAGAGGTGGATACTGAGGTGCCTCCAACCTCAGAGACTTCAGCCACATGTCTGTCTTCAAATGGGTGTGTGTGGATCTGCACACAGCGTGGCCAGGGCTGAAGAACAAGCTGGTGTGGGCACTGGGGGCAGGAAGGGCTCCCAGCCCAGCCTGCAAAAGGCTCCAACTGCACATACCTGGGAGGGGCCCAGCAATGCTGCTCTCCTCCGTCCCACAGCCCAGAAATACATCCACAGTGTCCTGGTCTGACAGGTCCATCATGTCCATCTGCTCCAGCATGTCCACATTGACCTCCATGGAGGAAATACTGCCTAAGGGGGCTGCAGAGACAGAGACCAGCAAAAAGGTGAGCGCTAGTGCCAGGCAAAGGGCACTGTGAGACCTGTGGAGGCAGGACCCCAAGGAGGGGGCCAGCCTTGCTGTGAGGAACTGAATCCCACCTGCTGGTAAAAGTTCCCCCAGGAAAATCATGTTTCCTTAAAACATCCCTCTGGAAGGCCCTGCTGCCTCACTGCAGCCCTTGTGCTGGCCCCACACTGCTGTCTGGAGGAGCCTGTCTGAAGGCAGCTGGGTACCCGTGTGCAGTGACTTCAGTTCAGCGGGGTGAGTAATCCACAGCACACCCACACGCAGCGTGTGTGGTCCTGTCTCAGTGCAGAACATGCGTGTCCCTGGCTGCCTTCAGACTGAGGATGTCCCACTATCTCTAACGCCCATGTCACTGTTCCCTGAGACACCCCCAGTCTCTGCTGGTCCCTACAGCACTTACGTCTCCGATGCTCTATCTGCAGGTGAGACATAGGGAAGAAGAAATCCACGTCGTGCTGGAAAACCTCCTCAAAGAACTTCTGTCGGTCCCGTAGTTTCAGTTGCTGCTGCTGCATCTGTTCCGCATCCAGGCTCCGCTGTGCCTGCTCCATGTCGGCTGGGGAGAAAGGTGAGGAGGGTCAGGCCAGGCAGGGCTGTCCGAGCCCCTCTGCCTGTCCCAGCTCAGGCGGTACGGCCATGCTGGAGGGTAGGTGATTCCCATCTGCTCCGCTTTACCAGCGCACATTGATTTAGTCACCATGAATAGATGTTACACGCCGGAACAGCAGCGTCATCAGCACTTGCTGTGCTGGAGCCTCAGATCTCACTTCCAAGATGCAGGGCAGCCAGGAGTAGGGAGCTCATATGCTGCATTCACAGCTGCTGAAGTGAATTATCGAGGAGGGGAAAGGGTGTTGCTACAAGATCAGCTATGGTTTGCACATGTTCAAGTTTCAGTTTTCTTGCTACAGAACAGAGGGGGTTGTCTGTGAACACTAACAAGCAGGAGAAACTCCCAAAGACAAGAACTGGTGTTAATGCTCCAGGCTTTCTGGGCCGAGGAATGCATAAAGAATAAAAGGCATTAGCAACCCTGTCACCCCTGCACGCGCGCAGCCCTGCCGCCACTGTCGCTATAAATACAGCCGCACCCACGCTCGCAGGCTTTCCCGTTCCCATCCCCTGCCTGCACGGCCAGCTTGGCTTCTGCCTGCACAAACATTTTCATTCCTGTAATTCCTTCGGCAGTTCAGCGCCGGTGCCTGTGTCCCTGGCTCACACGGGAAGGAGTGATGGGAGCCCTCGGGCTGTTGCTGGAAGAGCTTGTTGCTGCATCCCTGAGCCTGGTACCTCCCTTTCAGGTTGGGTACCCACAATGGCAAGGACCCAAGTGGCACAGAGAGGCTGTGGCTGGGGGGCCCGGGTGTTTCCCGGCCGGGGGTTTTCCTCCG